CAGGTAGATGACATCAGTTGCCCTTCCCTTAATCACCAACACTGTAGTCCCGTCATAGAAGGCCACCAAATTTGTTAGGCACGATTGACCTTAAGGAGCATTTGCCAGCTATGCTCCACAAATAGGTATTGAGTTTTACTTACCCCTTTCTGGTCAAAGCCAGTAGGAATCGTATGTCTAGAGCTTCAAGCAGTGCTTCAGTTAGGGGAAAAAAACCCCATCTTATAACCTTGTACACAAGTTATTCAAGCAGAGGTCAATGTGCTTTTAATAGGACTGCCATAGAAAACTCCTCACAGCCTGAATGACAGAAATGGTCTTGTTTAATATCATTTGTGCTCTTAGAAGTCCAAGACTACTTCTGTGTCAAGACTAATTAATTCATGCAAGATAACACATTAACAAAAAAGGCTCTATGTTACTGGCTAGAAACAGGGTAGACACAGATAGTGGAGGACTTCATGCTGGTTCCTCAGCTGCAGACACAAATGACAGGAGACCAAAGGCTGACACCTGCTTCTCCTTTCTCCTGGTGCCAAAGGGCCACAGACTCAGTTGTGCTGTAAAAGGTTATTTCTAGGTGATGATGAAGATCTTTTTGACCCTTGTGTAAGCAAACAGAGGAGTGTCAACACCTTAAGGAGTAGCTCTGTGAGAAAGAGTTTTTAAATCAACTGCTCTTCAGAGAATAACACACTTCAGTGTATTTACAGCACTCTTGGTTAGAAGATCAGTTAGAAACTTTAGTAAGGGAGAACTATGTAAAATCCTACATTTACAATCACTCCAGTAGATATAAAGTTCTCTGTGTCTGTGTGTATGTTTAAAACTGTGTGAGATTTCCAAATACCTTCCCATGTCAGTGGAAATGAAATACAAAAGTAAAGAAATGTGGAGGTACTGTTTCACAGCATGTGTATACCTCTTTCAAAGTTGGAACCTGCATAGAGATGCAAAGTTTAAGGAAATGAGACACACCACATGGTGTGGAATTATAAAAAGTTTATATCCTCTTCCAAAGAAGATTCAAACAGGCACTTTCTTTTTAAACCAACAAATAATAATAGGTCATACAACGTGCATGACTTGATGTTGAGGAACTTGATGTGGAGGCTTTTTGAAATGGCAGTGAGAGAACTGGTCACGTAGTACCTGTTTTCTTGAGTAATGCTCTGCTGTTTACTCAGTTTCTGAAATATGGAAATCTGTTGACAGCTGTGTTCCCAGTATAAAGGTCTTGCACCCTTTGTGTGGAGAAAAGTGGTAAATTTTATGAGGAAGAGAGGGCTTGCTTTCATTTTGCCTCAGCAAGTTGCTTGTTAGTGCATTTTCTCCAAGTAAAAGGAAGAGCAGGAATGTTTGGTGAAGGAATCTCTTGAGACCATGCTAAAGTACACATGGACTAACAAAACATTGTTCCTGATCTTGAAGTACTTTATAAATGTTGATTTTAAGTTATTAAATTATTATTTTGTTGTTGTTATTATTGTTGTTATTAATCCCAAACAGGATGTGAAGATTGCATTAACCAGGGCAGCCTGTGAGCCCTGGTAAAAAGGATTATCACACTGAACCACTGCATTGGTTTACAAACAAAATTTGAGTAAGGAAATACAAACTTTGCATTTTGCATCCTTTTGGTAGCATGGCAGTTGCCCTTCAGATAAGCATCACTGTTTCATTTGACCTTATCGCCCTTGTTCCAGATTAGTGGTGATATGAACTGTAGGCTGATGCATAACTCTCTCACTTTACAGGGCAGATTTTCTCAGGTGCGATAAATTAATATTCAAAAAAGACCTTTCTCTTTCATCTTCAAGGCAACAGATCTACTCGCTAGATTTCTGTCCCAGCCTCACCTCAGCCATGCTGTTTCTCTTCACCTCTGTCCCTTTCTGAATAAGAATTAGGTTTTTTAACAAATAATTTACCTCACTAGCTCTGTAGGACACTACCTAAATTTCAAAGTCTTTGTCAGACTAGCTCTGCTCAAGACCACAGCAGGTCCAGTTGAGACACAGGGAGCTGAGGGTAAGTGAAGAGCTGAAACCAGTTCAATCTAATTCTTAAATGAATGCTAGGAATCCCACACACATACAAGTTTATCATTTATTGCCTGTAATTTTCTCAACTAATTCCAAATTTAATGATAGCTTTCAGCTTTGGTTTTCTCTTCTAATTAACATACCTGTGACTATGTATAATCTCTGCATAAAGTCAAAAGCAGCTTACATGGTAATTACAGTGGGAGCACAGCACCTACTGTTCAAGATAGTCATCCACGAGAAAGTGCTTGCATAAGAGTTAAGGTGATGAGATTAAGTTGTACATCTTTCTTGTACCGTCCCAAAGTTATTTTATTAGTGGCTCAGCTTGATGGTGGTAAACTTTTGGGAAGGACACAAAAGACCTGGAGAGACCGAGCACAACCCTTTGCACATACAGCAGAGATTTCTTGGACAGGATGAACTTTTGAAGTCATAGTTTTTTGTGCAGTCATATTGTTGAGTAACTTTACATTTACCCCATAATAATTATGATGTAGTGGGTTGAAAATTGTTCATCTTTTACACTGTGGAAGATGCTTTGCATCCACTTTTTTCCTTTCCAGAAGCAAATGAAAACAATTCTGACTGAACAAAGCAGAAGGAAAATCCAAGTGTATGGTAGAAGCAGAATACCTTTGTTGCCTCTGTTAAATCAAAGTTAGCATTGGTTACTTCACTTTAGACCACTCTCAGCTGGAATGACTAGTGTCAGAGGGGCAAGCACTAGAGAATACACCATGTCTGTCTTTTGTCCAATATGGAAGAGAGTATGTATTAACTTAGACTGTCCCCATGAAGCAAGTTGTGAATTTAATTCTGGGTTTCTTTTTGACTGTTGCAGCAGAAAAATCTCAGAGTGGCACTGTATTTTTGCAGTCAGATTTATAGCAGATTGATGGAGAAAAAAATAGGACAGGACTGCTTACCCTTCTTGCTATACCTTTGATGTCAAACAGACCACTAACATTGACAAGCACCCAGGGGAGGGGAGAATGTACTACTCAGTGCTTTTCATTTATAACAACAATCAGGTTAAACCACGAATATCCATTTATTATTTACTTCCTTTTTTGTGTTTGCTTGATTCTGTAGAAATGTGTATGTATGGTTAGACTGAGAGAGAGGCACTTGCAATCATTTTGGATACTACCTGGTGGTGACGAGTGGATCCAACAATAGCCTGCTTTACCAGCAGAGGCTCTCAACAAGGAAGCACCATCTTCAATTGCAAAAGCCTCTAAAGCAGAACTTTGTACTTTCATTAAATCAGCAAAAATGCATTTATTTAAGAGCAACTCTATTTAGTAACTATATTCTTAAATCCTGACTGTCCTGAATTTTGGATAGCTCATTCTCCAGTGCTTCAGTATAACTGTGTCCATCCTGCTGTAAGAAGTGGGGTAGCCTGGCTGATACTGTGAACACAATTCAGAGCATTAGTACAATGTTAATGCCACTGTTGATCTCCCAGGAAGTATACGGAAGATGCTGAGGGGTACTTGGTCACAACTGAAGATATTAAGCTAAAAGGAAATGCTGTGGGTAGATGAATGTTTTCATATACAGGCCTCATTTGCAAAAAAATGAGTGATTAGACTGAATCCAGTCTCTCTATAGTACTTCGGTGATTAAGTGAGAATGGAAAAGACATTCTGGAGGTCTGTGATGGAAAACATGAACATTAACTCAGAACAGCAACTCCTCATGTTCTTTACAAAATGCAGATACCTGTAATAGATCAGCTCTACTGGAGGAAGGCTTTAGAAAATGTTGGTTAACTTTTTATTCATTTCAGTATAGGACTATTGTCCATCACCTCCCTGCTCTGTGCATAATGATACTGAAATGTGGTACTCAGCAAATTTTGAGTTCTGTGTCTTTTGTTGTTGCTTTTAGATTGACAAGTATGCTCAGCGGGATCTGAAGAAAGGGCTTCATTTGTATGGGACAGATGGAAATATTGGCCTAACTAATGCATGGAGCATCATTCAAACAGATGTAAGTCTGGGCTTTTTTTTTTCTTCCTCTTTACCCTCTGGGTTCTGTAACTGCATATTCTGGGTGTGAACCTAATTAAACCTCCAGATGTGAAGCCAATCTCTTCCTCCCACCCAGTCAGCACATTAGCAACTAAAATCTCTGCTTTTTGTAACAAGTAGTAATTTTTATTTATTTCTCCTTTGACCAGGATAGCTTATTTCTTTTAAAAAATTATATTGTGTTGATGCCTAAACATCATATAGTTCTCTGCTGTGTGGAAAATGAAGGAGATGGTCAGACAGAAAACAAGCAGTACCTTCTCTTTAAAGTCAAAGGGACAGCTTATGCTGGAATGAAGAGCAATAGCGTAATAACAAAGAACTACTTCAACCCTTTTTCATTTCTCTCCTGTCTCCTTTCATTGCTATTGTTGGTTTCCACTAGTGTAGTCAAAATGGAAACCGGCCGTGGTGTTTACAACTTCCTCCTACAGTCAGTACATTTTTCCCAGCACACTTCAATCATCCTCCATCACAGATGGGCTGGGAATGCTTTTTTGCTGTGTTGCCACCGCTGTAGCATTCTTCTGATTCTCTGACAGCAATCTGCCAGTGTTTGTCTCATAAGGACTGGTGAACACTATAGCTGGCTTCCTCCTTTTGTCCTTGTCTGGCTTGCTGAAGAAACACCATCACTGACAGTTCAGGTTTATTAGCTCTGTCCTTCTCTTTACATATTCAGTTCAAACAGTTCTCTAGGGGGGTGATCTTTCTGGTTTGATTTTCTCTGCTTCTTGTATGAGGAAATGTGTTCCAACTTTTCTTCCCCTTTAGGAAGAAGCACTTGTACTGCCTTGGCTTCACTCAAAAAATCTTGCATAGATTTCTCAAATTCTCCTCCAGAGCTGCTAGCAGGGTAGAGAGGCAGGGGTTTAGTTATCAAAGATGATAACCCCTCCCAGTGCTTCCAAGGTTATATGAACTATTTGAGGTGATGGATGGGATCCCTACCGCATTTTGATATGACAAACCTGCTTATTTACCCGTTATTTCCTCTATTGCCATTTGGGCTGAAATCCTGAACATCTTTCAGTTTGGTGGTGTCAGGATTCACATATACTGTTCTATACGATGCAAGATAACAGGAGTGGCAGGCTGCTAAGAAAATGTCTGAGAAATTAAAAATTTGGGATCACTAACTGAACAAAAGAACTGATTGGCCAAATTCTACATGCATCTTTGGGGCTGTGGGAGCTGTCTGTACTGAGTTGAGCAGGTTGACAGCAACAGTACTGTGTGTGAAAGACAAACAGCTCGGGTCCTGCAAACAAGCTAATAAGCTTTCCAGTTCTGCATCCGAACAACTGCATGTGGAAGGTTCTTTCGGTTGCCTTTAAAAGGTCTCAGCATCCTGCAATATTGTTAATATTCTTCTTTTCCAAAACTATGATCAAATATGAGAAAGCATCAATTACTGACAAGGGAAATGTATTCTGTGGTGCTAGCCCAAGAGTAAGCCATGTGAAATGTAGATAAAATTGTTAATATCATTGCTTATATCAAACAGTATTAGAAGTTTTACTCTTTTACATTAACTTAACTCTGCTTAGTAAAAATGTAGTAAAAATTACTACTACTAAGATGTTTGCAGTAAATATTAATCTGGTTTCTGTGACACCCCAAGAACTGTTAAAAGCATATAGCAAAGGTGGGGTAAAAGCATTATTTGAAGGACTTCTGGGATATAAACCCTATCCTCCTCCTCCTCTTTCTGTAAAATAGATGTAACAATATATACTATGTCTAGTTCACCTGGTCACGTTTTTTCAAGATGTTCACAAGTTGAATTGGACTCAGAAAAGTTGTAAAAGAATAATGAGGATTTTGGAAATTTACATTATGGTGAGAAATTTTGAAAGCTTTATATAACCGGGAAAAGATGAAGTAGTGATGTGATCGCAGTCCTTAAAAAGAGAGCAGGAAGGGAAAAGAGTTTTGAAAGAAAAGGATTCTGTACTTGATCCAAGAGCTAAAACCTCAAGATACAGATATCTGATG